CTCTTCTACTTTTCACCCTTCTCTCCGTTTTCCCATCTCTCTCATCAACTCTGCTACTCTTTCGTTTTTCTTCCATTTTTATGTTTCTAATTAATTTTTCACATCACCATTTATTTTCCTGTCTCCCTTCTACTCACCTCCTCTTCTATACTCCTTCTTCCCCTCATAATCTATCACTCTCTCGCTCTGCCTAAGTCTCTTAATTTCTCCGTCACCATCTCCTTCGCCTCTTCGTCATCTTCCCTCTTTTCGCCCATTTTGTCTCTTTTATTCTTCCCTTTGCCCACCTTTTCATCCACTTTGTCTTTCTCTCGTTCCTCATTTCTCTCTCTCTCTGTCTCTGCATCTGTCTCTCACTCATTCTTTCGCGTCCTCTCTTTCCCGCTGCCCCTTCAGGCCGCTCAGCCTGTCACCAGCTATCCATCAGAAGACCTCCGATGCCCGGCCCGAGTGCCCATTCTCTCTGCCCCTCCAGTCTTCCACCCACGCCAACCCACGTCGGATCCATCAATCAGGAAACTTAATGTGCTGCCATGGCAAGAGGGAAAAAGCAGATGCACATACACACGTCTCTGCCTGTCCGTCCTCATTCGCCAGTCTCGACTTGCATTTATCCATTCAGTGATTCAGACGAATTGTTCCCTACTTCCCTCTTCTGTCAGGACATTCACCGCACACGCAGGCACCAGCCTCGAGGCTGACTACATGTCACCAACATGTCTGCCACAGCCGACACCGAAAGCCTCGCACCTTTGCCAACGCTTCTGCTCCGGAACCGGGTCCCAACGGGTCGAGCCGCTCCACCCGTTTGTCGTTGCATCATTCTCTCTCGTCTCTTCTATCACCTTCCGCGTCTTCACCAGCAAGTGTATCTGTCGCCTCTGTTGCCAGGCTTTGGCGAGACGGGCGAAATGATGCAGCTTCGTCACCTTGACGCCAACCGGAGGGAGACAACCAACAAATCGGCCAAGCCTGTACCGACTCCCGAATCCCACCCCTCCGGCTTCCGGCCTGCATCGCCTACAGCGCCGCTCTTCTCCGCAGTCTCCGGGTGCATACAGCGCCACGTCTCAGAGACAAACAGAAACTGACGTCCTCCAAAAACAGCGAACTTGGCAGATTCGCCAATCATTTCATTTTGGCCAAATGAGATGCTTCATCAGGTCACGAGGCAGGTGAAGAAGACACCATCTTCTGCTGGCCGTGAACTCCCCACCACGCCCACATCTCTCCTATGTATGATTCCCAACGAGCCGAGGCAGTAGAAGCTGGTGTTCTGTCGGTTTATGTCTTCTCGCACATTTCTCCATTTGCCCATTTCGCTAGTCGTACGTGGATCACTTTGTCCAACTGAATGTGGGCAAATGGATATCTGCACCGTTTTCGTGATCTCTTTTTACCCTCTCTCCAAACACTCCCTTCTCATGTCGACTTGATGATCTCATCACGTCTTGGCTGACTCTAGCCCGAAGGATCTACCGGCATTCGGCTCCTTTTCGCCTTGACGACTCGTACATTGCCTGCCTCGAATTGGCCACTGTCGAGGGCAGCACCGACGTCGACAACCAGAGGGTAAGTGACAATAATTATCTCTATGACATTATCACCTCATCACCCGGCAACTTGATCAATTGCCAGGACTCGGAGCTTGTGGAACCGCGTTATTGCGGATAGACACCCGGTTGGTATTTTAGAGATGTCGTTTTTGCGTGGCTACAAGCCTTACTCAATCTAACAACCAGTTGAGGACCTGATTGATACCGTATTCTCGCGGTTGGGACTGAAAATGCCCAACCCGCTTGGCCAAAGGCTTCGATCAAGGCCTTTAAAAGACCAATTTCAGATTTTTCTCCTTGACCAAGCCGCCAGCTTGACCTGACACCGGACTGGGCTCGAGGGGGTAGACGGACCGAAGCGATCCTGATGGTTCGGTGGAAATGTTGTCATAATTTCCCAGCTGGGCTGTACAGTCATTTTTCGAATTAAGTAGTGTTTTCGTGACTACCAGTAAATCAGTAGTATGAGATGTATTCACCCAATTTCGGCTGAGTTGAGCTAAAGTTTCCATTCAATGTCACATAGCCTTGCTTTCCCAAAATTCGTTCTCATCCAGGCACCAGTAGACTGCAGTTTCGACCTCGCATCGGTCTTATCAACACCCTCAGCGGGAG